TTTTCCCGAATGGGAGTCAAGGGCAGCCCTATAAACCGTAAGTAGGAAAATTATGAAATTTGGCACACTTATAGAGATGAAAAGTAATTGGACCAATTTTTGAATCTCTAGGACCAACTCTATAGCGCCACCACCAGTTCAAAATTTCAACATTGAAATGGTTATAACTTTTGAACCCTTTCATCTAGAAAACTGAAATTTAGTACACCTCATCACGCTCACCATGCTGATCACATTCAATATCTTACATTAAGACTCCGCCCATTACAGTAGTGGCCATTTTGAAAAGTACAGTATGCATATTTTTGCTACTTTTTTGATCTTTGAACTGAGCCGCACAGAAATGACTGGACAGATATTTTTTATTCATGTTTGATCAAAAGTTATGATGTCGCAAACTTAACGAGGTCAACCCAAAATTGGTTCAGAAGCAATAGCTCGGCCAAACTTTGATGAATCGAAACTAAAATTGGTACGCTTCATCGGAACCATGATCTGAGCCTGTGTTTGTTGCCTTATGCTAGTTAGCTTAGCATATTAATTGGTTAGCATGCTAACCAGATGCCATTCTTTCTAATGTGGGTCTTCATTTATCAAGTTAACCATAAGCTACATTAGCACATCATGCTAATCTGGTTAACATGTCATGGAACTTTTTTGTGAACTCATTCTCACACTGAAACCTCTCCTCAGCAGGCTGGTGAACATGCATGAGTGATTAGCTCAACGTGTTACACCACGGATCCCGAATGCTTCGCAACTCAGTGTGACACGTGCCCAGACCGCATGAGGTACTGTTGCAGGAAAAGATGCAGAAGTTGCATCTGTTCCAGGCATTGTGCCTAAGAATGATATCATCTGAAGCTGTCACACACAACATGCAGTGCTTTTACGTACAATTCATTATTCTTCTTCCAGAAGGGTAGTCAATGGCATCCCTATGAACCACAAGTAGAAAAATTGACACACTTGTAGTGATGGTAATGAGTAGTAATCTGACCAATTTTGGATGATTTAATCTAAATTTACAATATGCTCTGCATTTACTTTAAAATTCTTCATTTTGACTTGATTCTCTCTTGAAACTATTGAATTTCGGCAGCTGTGTAAATGCATGTCTGCCAAGTGGCGCAATGAGATGAGTGACAGGCACCTGACCCATAGATATTGGGTTCGAGTCCTGTGTGGGACAACTTTAAAATTGTGTATAAATTTGTCATTTCAATTCCTTTCTTATCTGGGTAAGAGCTGTACTAATCTTTCTTACTCTGGGATTAGAAATAAGTGTGTTCTTTTCTACATTCTGTGTTAGTTCTCATCAGAATTTCTGTTCATTTTGATTTCATCCTATCTGTACCTATCAGTTCTTCATGTACATTCTATTTCTACTGTTTTTGCCCTTCTGGCTCTGCATTGTGCTACAACCCTTTCAGCGGCTTGGCCCCGTATTGCTGCTTGCAGCTATTTAATGTTTCAATTTGTTTTAAACTATAAAAATTGACACAATGTTTGTACTTACCTTTACATGTCCTCCTGCAATATTAGTCTGAGACGACGGAACTTGTGGTCAAAAACGGAGATTGGGATCTACAATTTAGGCTGTTTAAAGTATCAACTAATTCAAATGCACAAATCACTATTGCAAGTTTTAGAACCTTGCGTCCAGGGCCGGCGCTCCGCACACGCACATCACGCGCTGCGCGTAGGGCACCAAGTGCTTGGGGGGGCACCAAAAAATCTGGGTCGTGAAAAATCATCACAATAGGCTACTAGTATAAATAACAAATAAAATATGTCTAAAGCATGTTAATATACAAAAGCAATACAAAAGTAATATAGGCCTAGACCAAATTAGTCGAGAAAAAGGTGAATCTCATTTTTCGTCTCCCTCTGGTGCCCCCCCCCCCTTCCCCACCTCCCAGTGGTCTGTTCGATTATGCCTCAATCAATGTCAAATTTGGCAGACACCGACCTCAGACATGGCCTCGGAAAGGCACCAAGAGTCGGGGGCGAAAAAAGGAAAAAGAATAGACAGCGGGATGATACTCGCGCGTCGCTTTGCAGGTAAGACAATGTTTTAAATAAAAATGTTAGTTTTGTAGCGCGGGCGCCCTTGCGTCGTGTATGCATGTCCAGGGGGGCGTCGCCAGTAGTGCAAATGAAATGATCCGTGGCTTTTTTAGCCCTGCATGTTGAATCTTTTATTTTAACGGGGGTCCGGGGCTTTCTCCCCCAGACATTTTTTAAACTTGGGCTGTTTAAGATGCAGTTAGTTTGTTTGAGAAGAAAAGGAAGACCGCTTAGATACGTTTTTTCGTTGTTGTTTTATGCGGATAATGCGTTCATTTTCAAGAGGTTCACAGGCCAAGGCCCAAGGGCGACATCTGTTGGTGAAACTGCAATTAGAAAAAAAAAAAAACCCCACAATCTCAGTGTTTGTATATTTTCATATTCACAGAGTTGTCAAATTATTAGGGCTGGGAAAAGATTAATCGCATACAAAATAAAAGTTTGTGTCTACATGATATGTGTGTATACTGTGTATAATTATTTTGTATATATAAATACACACACATATGCACGTATATATTTAAGAAATATTTGCATGTATATACTGTATATATTTATATATAATTTATATTATATATAAATTTAAATATTTTATATATAAATAACAAATATTTCTTAAATACATACATGCAAATGTGTATTTATATACACTACCGTTCAAAAGTTTGGGGTCAGTGAGAATTTTATTTTTATTTTTTGGAGGAAAGAAATCAATACTTTTATTTATCAAGGAATAGTTAATTTGATTGAACGTGACAGTAAAGACATTTATAATGTTACAAAAGTCTTTTGAACTTCCTATTCATCAAAGAATCCTAAAAAAAAAAAAAAAAAACTGTACAACTGACAGACCAACAACTGTTTCAACATTTGATGATAATAATAAATGTTTCTTGAGCATCAAATCCTCATATTATACTGATTTGTGAAGGATCATTTGACACTGAAGACACTGACACTGGTGATGCTGAAAATTCAGCTTTGATCACAGGAATAAATTACACTTTACTATATATTCACACAGAAAACAGCTGATTTACACTGGAATAATATTTAATACTATAACTGATTTTTGTTGTATTTTTAATCAAATAAGCGCAGCCATGGTTAGCAGAAGAGAATTCTTTTAAAAGTATTTAAAATCGTACCGACCCCAAACTTTTGAACGGTAGTGTATATACAAAATAATTATACACAGTACACACACATACACTCACCGGCCACTTTATTAGGTACCCCATGCTAGTAACGGGTTGGACCCCCTTTTGCCTTCAGAACTGCCTCAATTCTTCGTGGCATTGATTCAACAAGGTGCTGGAAGCATTCCTCAGGGAGTTTGGTCCATATTGACATGATGGCATCACACAGTTGCCGCAGATTTGTCGGCTGCACATCCATGATGCGAATCTCCCGTTCCACCACATCCCAAAGATGCTCTATTGGGTTGAGATCTGGTGACTGTGGAGGCCATTTTAGTACAGTGAACTCATTGTCATGTTCAAGAAACCAATTTGAAATGATTAGAGCTTTGTGACATGGTGGAAGTAGCCATCAGAGGATGGGTACATGGTGGCCATAAAGGGATGGACATGGTCAGAAACAATGCTCAGGTAGGCCGTGGCATTTAAACGATGCCCAATTGGCACTAAGGGGCCTAAAGTGTGCCAGGAAAACATCCCCCACACCATTACACCACCACCACCAGCCTGCACAGTGGTAACAAGGCATGATGGATCCATGTTCTCATTCTGTTTACGCCAAATTCTGACTCTAACATCTGAATGTCTCAACAGAAATCGAGACTCATCAGACCAGGCAACATTTTTCCAGTCTTCAACTGTTCAATTTTGGTGAGCTCTTGCAAATTGTAGCCTCTTTTTCCTATTTGTAGTGGAGATGAGTGGTACCCGGTGGAGTCTTCTGCTGTTGTAGCCCATCCGCCTCAAGGTTGTGCGTGTTGTGGCTTCACAAATGCTTTGCTGCATACCTCGGTTGTAACGAGTGGTTATTTCAGTCACTGTTGCCCTTCTATCAGCTCGAACCAGTCTGGCCATTCTCCTCTGACCTCTGGCATCAACAAGGCATTTCCGCCCACAGAACTGCCGCTCACTGGATGTTTTTTCTTTTTCGGACCATTCTCTGTAAACCCTAGAGATGGTTGTGCGTGAAAATCCCAGTAGATTAGCAGTTTCTGAAATACTCAGACCAGCCCTTCTGGCACCAACAATCATGCCACGTTCAAAGTCACTCAAATCACCTTTCTTCCCCATACTGATGCTCGGTTTGAACTGCAGGAGATTGTCTTGACCATGTCTACATGCCTAAATGCACTGAGTTGCCGCCATGTGATTGGCTGCTTAGAAATTAAGTGTTAACGAGCAGTTGGACAGGTGTACCTAATAAAGTGGCCGGTGAGTGTATATCATTCCCCAGCCCTACAAATTATGTACAGAATTATTATATTGTGCTTCATCAGACTAAGAAATTCTGAATGGTTGTTATTCCTTGGGTGGGTGAGGGGGTGAGTGGGGTGGGGGGGCACCACCAAGCATTTGTGCTTAGGGCACCCAAATGGCTAGCGCCGGCCCTGCTTGCGTCGTAAAGATAACATTCAGAAACTGACGAATCTGTTTAACGTTTCATTTAAGACAAGCTTTATGATATGCAACTATAAGGTGAGGGAAAACTAGCAAATCGCCTGCAATTAACCATGGAAACTGTCATTTAATCATTATTTTAACTAAATAAATTAAGTTATAGTCTGATAAAGTGTTTATTATAATTATTATTGTTATTAAAGTATTTCTTGGAAAATGACCCATTTTTGCTCTGCCACTGGTTTATCCTGGAAAGTTTCCATTACCTTGACTCGTGTTTCAGTGGATTATGTGTTGATAAATGTAAATTTAAACTTTTTTTTGTGTTTTAAGTTCAGTGATAATTTTCTTTCACCTGACGTTCTTTTGGACAATTCAAGGTGAGCATTAAAGTTTAACAAAAAAAAACCCTCTCTTGCCTGTTTTTTTTTTTTTTACATCTCTTGCCTGTTAAACTGTTTCATTTATTTCATCTTCTCTCTGTTTCAGTGTGCCCAGAGACCATTGTGGGTTTTATTGGTGACTCCATTGTTATTCCTTGTTCTTCTGAAGAGCATCAGCCTTCAATTCAAAACATCACTGTGCGTTGGAGACAAAACAGCCTGAATGTGTATGACATAATTAAGGGTACAGGATCAGTAGAAAGGCAGGATCCGGCATTCAAGAACAGAGCTGCAACCTTTCCTAAAGAATATCTGAACGGAAACTTCTCGCTCAAACTCAACAGTATGCGAAACACTGATGAAGGACAGTATACATGCTATATCATAGAGGAATCAATAATGAAGAATGTCCATCTTATCATTAAAGGTATGTAAAAACAAAATGATTGACACAAAGTTTTTTATTCTAAAGAGTAACAGGATCTTAATGCTATAATTGCATGACCACACTAGTTATATTTCTGCATTCTCTCTTATGGTGTAATATACAAGGATGGACTCATGTTTTCATTTTGTTTTTCTTTTTAACTTTTCTAATGACAGAGAAATCAATAAGAGGTAGCTTCAACCAGGGAACAAAACCACGACCTGAGATGACTGTAATGATTATTTCCATTCTTTGTATAGGCTTTATCTTTTCTTTAACTGTAAGTACATTCAGCATGCATGATCAACATGAACCTTATATTGTAAGTAGGTTGCAGTTTCTAAATAAATATTGCAATGATGTATGTGTTCCAGAACTTTGCCACAGGACATTCTATGGAATTGCATGTGCCGGTCCCAAGCCCGAAAAGAAGGAGGGGTTGGAGAAGGATGCCTATACTCTGACAGTAAATAAATGCTCTGTGTGCTCACTGTTTTACTATTTAAACTTCTTGTTCTTCTTCCGAGACATTTCTGAATAGTATCTCCTCCTTGAGCTTTCAAGCTACAGTAGATACAAAGTCTACACATCCCTCTTAAAACAGCTGATTTTTGTGATAAAATAAATTATTTCAGAACTTTTGCCCATTTAATGTAAAAACTACTACCTATGCACTACCTATTGAACTGAATCTTGGATCATGTCATCTGGTTCACTATACTCACTTTTGAAAAATAATGCCCCAACCATGTGTGATAAAATCAAACTGTTTGTTTCTTAAGAATCCTTGCTTTAAGTTTTAAGACGTGTTTATGTTATTCTTTGTTTATCTATGAATTCATTCCGCAATTATACTTTTTCTAAAATTGTTTTTTTTTGTACTCGTTTTACACCGTTCACCGGATTCACACGAAACTTTGCATGCATTATCCCCAGACTCTCATGACAAAAAGTGATCAAAATAATGTTGGTGTGTTGAATCTGCTATGGTTTTTTATATTTATGTGGCCCATTTAACTTATATGCCTGCATGTCATGTACACAGAAGTTTATTATCAGAGAAGTTTATGTGGAATTTGGAAAAGAGGACTTTCTAAGATTACTTGCAAAGCTGCATCAATTTTTGATGAACAGCAATAATTTAAAGGTGCTCTAAGCGATGTCACGCGTTTTTTAGGCCAAAACATTTTTTGTCACATACAGCAAACATCTCCTCACTATCCGCTGGCTGCCTGTCCCCTGAACACACTGTAAAGAAACGCGATCTCTGTAGACAGCCCAGGCTCCACAAACAGCAACAAAAACAAACTGCGGCGACCGGCTCCTCGAAACATAACAAACTGTTCCAGCCAATGACCGACAAGAAGGGTTAGGGGGGTTAGTGTGCGGATGAGGAGGAGGGAGGTCAACAAGAAGTGACGTCACCCAGGATCACTTAGAGAACCTTTAATCAACCATTTTAACTCGCACATGAAATGTGCAGTTCTATATTTTGTCCACAAGATGGAGTCCACGCTCCTTTTTAGTCTACTGCCGCCATCAGTGTTTGAATATATTGAAATTAATTAAGGAACCATGCGCTTACAGTGTCTCCTGAACTTTATAATTAGTTACGTGATTTCTATTAACTTCAGATATGTCTTTTTTTATTGATTACATCACAGTCACAGGATTTTGCTAAACAAATTCACCTTATTAGCACTGCTTCAACCCAGAATTATTTTTCAAAAGTGAGTATAGTGAACCAGATGACATGATCCAAGATTCAGTTCAATGGGTTGGCTCTAGTTCTTTTTCTAAGGCAAACATCCCAACAAAGTGTTAACCTAAAATCTCCCAATTTAGGTTAACAGGCATTCTTTGAAATTGCCCATTTATCTTTTTTTTTGTTTTTTACATAATAAAACCCAGTAGTTTTAACGAGGGTGCACAGACTTTTTTGTATCCATTTTATGTTACTGTGTTTCCCCTCCTTGAACTGCCACCTTACTGTGGTGGAGGGGTTTGAGTACCCGAAAGACCCTAGGACCTATGTTGTCCGGGGCTATATGCCCCTGTTTGGGTCTCCCAAGGCAAACAGGTCCTAGGTGACGGGTCAGACTAAAGCCCCGTTCACACCACCAGTGACAATGTCTCCAGTCTCTGTACTGTGAAGTCGCTTGTGGGCGTTCGTAGTCCTGTCGCTCTAATGTTATTGGTAGACTGCACGTCTGGCCATATCTACAAAATACCATCACAAGTGATATATAGCCTACAACTATATAATTTTAATTTGACTAGGAATTAGGCTCAAAAGAAACAGTATGCTATTGGGAGAGGTTTTTTTTATATTACCACAGCAGTGTTCAGTGGATTAAATAATTTACTAGATTAACGGGATCAATCAACAAATTAAACTCACTCATACTGTCATAAATTACTAAAATGCCATTCAAATTTGATAAATACATTTTCTTGTCCCTAATATCAACATAATGCAGGGGAAACTGTATGAAACTGAAATGAACTACAGCAGTGCTAAACTTGCATCATAAATTTACATCACTCGAACTATAAATGTATGAATTAAACCCACTGAGACTGTCGACAGTTTCTTTTCCATGCATCATTTAAATTATATCCATGTATGTGGTTACAGGCAAATCATACTCGAACTCTTCTGTCTTGCCTGCACTCGAGACGGTGACGTGAGCTCCACTGAAAGTCTTCTTTCCTATTGGTTGTCGCTCGCGAAAATCGCTTCTCATTTGCATAAAGTTGAAATTTCTCAACTTTTGTCTTGACACGCCCACATACTGTCGCCAACGGTCACTGTCGCTCGTGTCGCTGGAAGTCGCCAGCGCTCCATTGAAATTAATGGGATCATGTCGCTTTGTCGCTGCGTGTCGCTGCGTGTCGCTGGCGGTGTGAACGGGGCTTAAGAGCGGTTCAAAAACCCTTTATGATGTATTTAAATTCGAGGGCCGTGACGTCGCCCGGCATGGCGCAGCCGGGGTTGGGCCTCGTATGCGAGTGCCTGGTGGCCGGGCCTCCCCCATGGGGTACTTCAGGGTTACTTAGAAAATTAAAAGTTGTATCATAAATCGCATTATATGATTGATTAGGGATGGAGCTAATGTCAGCAAGACACAGGACCTCAAGGGCTAGAGTTTCCCACACCTGAGGTTGAAGATGAAACTGTTCAGCAGTGAAAAAATACAAGAGATATATATGCCCTTAATTTTAGGACACACAGACATGTCATATACACATTGTCATACACATATATATATATATATATTTTTTTTTTGCATCAAACAAATCACAGAAACATTGATGACTTGGGCCTTTTTTCTAATAGGGCAACATGTCCTGGGAGATACTACTCATGAAATCCAAACTATATCAAATATCTAAAAAAAAAAATGATTTGGATATTTTTTACTTAAGTCCAGATGATATTAAAAGTGACATGAAATTATTTTTTGATGATCATTTCCCACTCTTGCCTGTTTTAGGGTTAACAAGTTTCACTGGTTTTGGACACAAACAGATATCACTTGACTGGATTTGCCGTCCGGGATCGGATCTGATATTTCTGATGTGGATATCCATCCATTTTGGCATAGTCGGCAGGATGTAGATACAATCTAACAATTCGATCTAAATCTTTTGTGAGGTGTTTTAAAACACTTGTGCTGTGTGTTGCTATGTCTCCATTGATAAAATGTCTTTTGTTATTCAATTTTCTTGTTGTTGATAAAAAACATCTTTTAACTCTGAATATATTTTCAAATGTATTAAATTGACTATCTATAAGCTAAGAAATGTATTGAATATTTTAGAACTCAGATTGAAAGTTTTCGACTTAAACTTCATTAACTTGTTCATTATAACTTGAATTACTATGAATTATTTCATGTAAAAAGCTTGTTGATTTTACTTAATAATGACAATGACTGCATTACGGCCCTTATTACATGGCTTCATTCCAAATAAATGTGGTAACATGAAATACTGAGTTTAATTTTTTATTAGCTTATTTGTAAGTTAGCCTAAAGTCAATTCAAGCCACCTAGCAGCAAGAACATTTCTAAATATACAGCAGGCTATTAAAATATTCATCACATGTGAATCCAAATTTATATGGGCAAACAAAACGGCTAACTCCAACTTGAGTGAGAATAATAACAATTCCTTAGACTCAAATACATCACTGCAAAAACCAGAACAGACAACAATATTCTTGTTAACAGTACAGTGAAAACAAAACTTCAAAGGTAAAACAACAAACCAAGACCAAACATTGACTCAAAAAAGAAAGAAATACAATACAGTAAATTGCACAACTTCCCTGATAAAACGGTATTTTCATAAGAAATGGCACCCAGCCCCAACAGCTCTCCAGATGTGGACAGGCTGTTTAATTTACAAAAATTAATACATTTATAAAATATTTCAGATTCCATGTTAATGTGACAAGAACAAGAACTTGAATCTGTTTTTAACGTTTTAAGTAATCATCGTCAATATTTTTTATTGCTAATACAGTTTTTTCCCCCTGCATTTTCAATAGTAAAATTATTATCATTTTGTTCTGAGGAATTTTGCATAAACATGCATATTTTTATTGTGAAAAAAGATTCAGGCTGTAGCATGTGGTTAAACTCAACTGAAGCACAAACCAAATCCAGAAACATGTTCCAGTTTGGTCAGTGGAAACCAGTGATAAACAGAGTCTTTCACCTTTGTCTAGAGTGGCGGTTTAGCCTTCAACTGCAGTTTCTAAAACCACTTTATTTTTCAGTTCTCGGTTTTCTTCACCTCAAATGCAAGTAATTTGTTCAAGCCAACATGTTTTCAAAGCACAAATAAAATTACATTTACTAACATTATTTAGATCTGAAGTGTTGCTCATAAATCATTGAGATTTATGAGATTGTTCTGTAAATCCTCCTCCATCTGTTATTGACTGAGAGAAGCTGCACTCGGTCTGACAAAACCTGCTTCCACTGAGACGCTTCAGCAACACGCTTTCAGCAAACTGAAGGAGAACAGAGGAGAGAGACAAGATATTAATGTTAAACTATAATTAGCACATGCAGCATCATTGTAATTATAGATTATTTTCACATGATCTGAAGTACTAACCCATGCTTGTGATTAAACACAGCAGTGAAGGTGTGATGATGGTAAATTACTGTTTCTATGTATTAAATGTCTGTTCTCACCTGCGTCTCATTCACGTCTCCACTGTTACTTTCTTTACATGTTGAGTTTAAGCATATCTTCACCAAACCTGAAAGAGCAGACTCATTAAACAAAGTTACGAATCAAACATGGGGAGATTATTATATAGTGTAAGACCAACAAAAGATGTGATATTAAAGGACAAGTTCGGTATTTTACACTTAAAGCTACATTGTGTAACTTTTTTAGTTTATTCTTAGCTAAAAACACTTAGTTCTTTCAAAAATATATGTGCTCATTAATGTATATTTACTTCGTTCAAGTAATAAAGTATTCTCGTGAGTGTATAATATGCCATTGAAAATACATACGGGTAAGGGGTTCTAATGTCGGTCGCCATGTTGCCCCTCCATCTTGAAAGTACATTAGCCAAAGAGGGACATACCCGTTAATTCAAGCTTCGCCTTTCGCGTTTTAACACTCGATGGCACCGTGTCGAATGTCATATAAATAACCTATATGTTACCTGACAAATTAAATTACTGCAAATTATAATAGTTTTCTAAAATAACCTCATCACTTGAAGGAACACTCATGGACGAGGTCGAACTGGAAGCCATGTTAATCTTGGACTACATTGGCCACCGTAGGAGTTAAAACTCAGAGACGTCGGATTCAGCGGCCAAGAGTTGCGTCGCACAGTAAAGAACTTATCTGAAGCAGCAGAAAGGAGCAGCAACTGGCTGTGGTTGAGACGGAAAGATTCTAGCTGGCTGTGTACAGGCCGCCACGCTACGGTTTCGTAGAAGTCTGTTGGTTTATTTGTATACGTTCCTGTGGATATTGCGTGAATGACGGGTGGTTGGACAGATATTGTGTTTTGCGGTAGGTGGTATGCCATACGGAACCGTTGTCCACTGAAACTGCATATTAACGCACCAGTGGGGCTCGATAGCCTTAGTCAACGGGTTGGCGCGTATGGTCGGGTTGCAGAGAGATTGTGAGGTTGTGGCTAGGTCTCAGCAGCAGGAGGGATGTAGAGGTCAGTAAGCTGGGCTGAGTTGAGTGGGGGACGGAGGGGGGTGACTCTGGGACGCCAGAGTCACTGTCGAGCCCTCTTGAGGTGTCGTGGGCTAGTCGACGAAACACTGAGGACGGAAGGTGCCCACTTGAAGACCCTAGAGATGTCCCCTACTCGGCTCAATCCAGACGGTTGTCGTGCTGGTCCACTGGGGAGACCACACTGTAGTTGCAGCCGTCGCGTGTGCTGACGCACCAAGTACACTGCAGACGTTAACGCCGGACAGAAGGGGAGTCACACCACCATATGGAAAGAAGCGTAAATGGATGGAGTAGTTTACTGTAAAGCTACGTCTTAGTTTTGCTTATCTTGGCGAAAGCCGAGTACAAATCAGCATGAAGTTTTTAACATCTACTCTCGTGTAATGGAAATCAGTCATTTTAAATGACAACATTGAACATCAAAGTTAGAAAATAACTTACCGCTGATGTAGATTTTGGTGCCGTTGTTGAATTTTAGAGGTTCACTAGTTTTCACACAATAATAAACTCCTAATTCATCAATGGTGATATTCTTGATGAACAGACAACTGTTAGTTTTCACTGAGTATTTGTGTTTAGAGATGCTGTTTTCATATTTACCTCCTTCAGTTTTGCTGCTGAAAGTGCGTAAGATCAACACTGGAGGATCCGGTAATTTCAGTTTGTACCAGTAAATCTCATCTATATCAAGATCACAGGTTATTATCACATCAGATCCTAAAGTTACTGGTATGTGTGTTAGACTCTCTGTGGCTTGATACAACATGAACAGATCTATGACAGAAAGAAAAACACATTTATTAAGATATAAAATCAAAAGAAAACTGACTCAATCAAATGTGACATGAGAAACTCACAGATCTGCAGCTGTATGATCTTCATGATCTGATCCAGATGAATAATATCTGCTATGATCATTCAAACATCTCGTACTGTGAGGAAACACAAACCTCGACCACACAGACGAGAGGGGAAGTCAGAGCTGAAATCATGATTAGCTACAGGTATTTAGTCATTTTACAGTCCTGAAATCATTTTGAAAATAATTCTTCCAAGCTTGATATTTTTTCTGACAAAGTGCAATTTTAAAATGTAAAGAATATAATTTTTTTGAAATACTACAAAATAAAGTTTAGCACCAGTGTCTATGGGTCAGTAAAGCAGCATTGAAGGAGACCCTGCAGTTGCTCTGCTGTCCTCTAGAGGCGGTAAATGGAAGTGTTTCACTCAGTTTCACCGCTGGACGGCGCACTCGTTCACTCTCTCTATTTTTTCATGTAGGCCTAATTGTCTGTTCGCTGAAACCATCACACTTTCATAAGCACGTTCATCATTTGCTCATTTACATTATTTATATGTTGAGAGAACTCGATCTCGATCTAAACTTTAGTGTCTGTTTTTGCGTCAGATCTGCAGTAAACTTCATCTGAACTTCTGTGTGGAGGGAACCGATTCATATTGAAGTGTTTTAATCACGACAACAACATGAAGATCATTCAGCTTCAGCTCTGTGAGTTTATTACATGATTTACACTACCAGTCAAAAGGTTTGGATCGGTAAGATGTTTTATGTTTTAAAAAAAGTATCTTATGCTCACCAATGGAGGATTTATTTAATAAAAAGAAAAAAACATTAATATTGTGAAATATTATTACAATTTAAAACAGCTGTTTTCTACATGAAAATATACAGTAGTAAAGTGTAATTTATTCCTGTGATCAAAGCTGAATTTTCAGCATCATTACTCCAGTCTTCAGTGTCACATGATCCTTCAGAAATCATATCATTCTAATATGTTGATTTAATGTTTAAGAAACATTTCTCATTATTATCAATGTTGAAAACAGTTATTTACATTTTTATTTCAGAATTCTTTGATGAATAGAAAGTTCAAAAGATCAGAATTTATCTGAAATAGAAAGCTTTTGTAACATTAAACATTTTTTTTTTTACATATTATTTTTATGAAATAAAGTAAATCAATACTTTTATTCATAAAGGATTAATTAAATTGATCAAAAGTGACCATAAAGACATTTATGATGTTACAAAATATTCTATTTTAAATAAATGCTGTTCTTTTGAACTTTCTATTCATCAAAGAATCATTAAAAAAACATTGTACAAAACTGTTTTCAACATTTATAAATCATATTAGAATGATTTCTGAAGAATCATGTGACACTGAAGACTGGCGTAATGATGCTGAAAATTCAGGTTTGATCACAGGAATAAATTATATCTTAAAATAGTTCAAATAAAAAACAGTTACAGTATTTTAAATTGTCATAATATTTAACAATATATTGCTGTTTTTTGTGTGTATTTTTAATCAAATAACTGCAGCCATGGTGAGCAAAAGAGACTTCTAAGAAAAATTAAAAATCTTATCTATCCAAAACTTTTAAATGGCAGTGTACATATGATTATTAATCTTG